TTTAAGTCGATCAAATCGAATTTTTGTCAAGCTTATTTGAATAATATTAGGGGTTTATATTCTCAAGCTTTTTTGATATAATCATACGTAATACGAACGTCAATTTGTCAAAATACCCTTTGAATGAGATCGAATCAATATTAAATAAATGAGCAATAAATTTTATTTAAAAATATTATTAATATGCATAATACTCCTATCAAATATCAAATATAATATAATAATAATTTATTCGCTCTTGTGATATATCTCTATTTTTGTTTTTGATATTTCTCTGCTAAAGTTTTCAGATATTCCTCACGGTTTTCGATAACCAAACTTTGAGGATCAGCCTGTGCATTTGGCAGTATTTCTATTTCTGATACCACGACATTTGTTGGTCTGGTTACTACAAACATTACACATTCAGCTAATTCATGATAGAAAAAAAAAAAATAGTAATTAGGAATAAATATAATTATTAGAAATTTAAAAAATAAATAAATAAATGAAAATTAATAAACTGACCAACTTCTTGAGGAACGAGCGGTTCGTAACCTGAATAATAAGCATTCGCAAAATCAACGTTTCCATAACTTCTGACCAGTGTGAATTCACTTTTGACTGCACCTTTTAATAATTGCGGCAAAGAAATTAAATTTGATAAATCTTAAATAAAGAATTATATGGTATTTTACCTGGTCTAACCATAATAACTCGAATTTTGGTTGATAAGAGTTCTTTCCTTAAAGACCTTTAATAATAACATACCCTTGGTCATGACGAAAAGGCACATTGCACGTGATATAGTCCAATCAAATTGTAAATCTAGGAATAACTTTGAAATAAAAACACAATACAGCAACTAGTGGCATGCACTGGTATGCCAAAATACTTAAAATCTATTAAGGCATGCCTTTGCTATAAAATTATAATAGAATCATCATGTAATTTAATTGACTAAGCTAAATTAATAATATTTTAGAAAATTTACTTTTAATAAAAATATGCGACCTAAACAATTATTATTTCAATATTATTTAAATCGCCTTAATGAGACGATTCAAATAGCATCAAAGTTTTTAAATACTCAACTACTTAGTTTTTAAGTTGCTTCTATTAAAAATTTACAGGGTTTCCCTGCTGTCATTCATATTATGCTATGCCAGGGTGGCATTCTGGCGTGCTATTTGTTAAATGGCATGTAAATTATTTTAGGCGTGCCATGTTCCCCAAGTTCACTCTCCATAAGTGCACTTCCTCTCTAAATGCAAACAATTGTCTGGTCTTCTTCAGTGCAAGTAATTGAGTTCCAGATATATCGAATACCTTCTATAAATACGCACACGTAATATTTACATAGCAATAACCCGAGGTTATATTGTGATTATGTACTTTCTCCTTTAAGAGCGTGCACCTATAGAAGTATTATTGTATATATATATATACAACAATATCTGTTTTTTTATTTAAATACACTTTTTCTCCAAGTGTCTGATTTCGGAGCGTGCACTTATAGCAGTGTTGAAATTGGAATTTTTCTATTTGAAAATTCCAATACACTCTTTATTTTTAACCAAACAAAATTAATGATTTATATTAAGTTGGCTTCCAATATACCTTCCAATAAGTTGATTAATGACTAGAAGGCGCTATAATTGGAACTTATTGGAAGACCAATACCCTCCAATCTTCCAATTAACAACATTGTTTATGGAGGTTTTACTGTAAGTACTTGTTATTGGTCATGTTGTGTATGGTAACTGATTATTCACTAGGACGTTGTGCTTATAACGCGACCGAATGCCACGTCATAACGCATATCTGCTGCAAAGAAATCAGCGATTATCGGCCACAATTTGACCAATAACATAGTAGTAATCCAACATGCCTGACGTAAAACTGAACGATTCTCGTGTAACTTGTTCAGCCTCTTTCAAATATAAATAAACAAATTTTCACTCACTTCTTAAGAGGTGAGTGAAAATTTGTGTATTTTATTAGGAGGTGGCTGAAAAAATAAAATAGTTTGCTGTTCATATAAGCCTATCGGACAATATGATTGTTATTCGTGTTATATTATTTGATTGGAATAGATCACGTGCGCAATGCATTTTTTCGTCATAGTTAGGGTACCAAATAATGGCTAAGAATGTCATCAAAAAAAAAAATATATTCTATAAAAAAAAAAAATCAAATACAAAAGGTACTTACTCAGTAATTCCTTCAACAGCAAACTTCGAACCAGCATATATGGCATCTCCTTTTCCATGAGTTCCTTTCCCTATAAGGATTCATAATTGATTAATTTAATATGGTTTACGAATGATTTATGTAAATTATGGTATACCAGAAATGCTCCCCATATTGATAATATCCCCCGAATTCCGTTCCTTCATTCTCGGTAATACAGCTTGAGTCATATATATTAGACCGTAAACGTTTGTTTCTATTGTTGTTTGAATATCCTTTTGAGAATTCTCTTCTAACGGATCGTAACCGAATGCTGTGCCGGCCTATGTTAAACTGATATTAGAGATAATGCTAGGAAACTTAAAACACGAAAGGGATCCCTTAATAACATTGATGAAAATTTCAGTTTCCGGAAATTAGTAATAAAATACCCGTGATCTTGATATAATGATCTGGTATTTGCCATATAACATTATTGTGCATTGGTTCAGATCCGACATTGTTTCGGGTCCAAAAATCTAGTTAAACTTTAAACCCAGTCGGAAATGTACCAAGAGTATTGTTGATTAATCTCATGATCCTTGGTTCTAAAAAATCCCGACATCCAAAATCTCGAAACCATAATCCCGACGTATTAAAAGATTAGTAATCACATTAACAATTATTGTCAGGCTTTAAATTTTTAATTGTCACGTCGGGTGATGTCAGTATTATGGCCTGTCTTGTCGGGATTTCGTGGTAGAACCGTGATCCTGATATAATGAAGTTTTGCTTAATGTGTCACCTAGAGATCAAGCCCGTGTATAAATTTGGATCCGGGTTACCCATTCATTTATAAGATATTACCCGAGTGATCCAGTTAATCCGGTTAATTTTAAGTCGTTAAAATTATTACTTAAATCTCGTTCACGAATATCTGTACAGTATGGGTGTCGTATGAATTTAAAAAAGATTGTACCTTAAATTATTGTACGGGTCTGACGTACAATCCAGTGCCAATAAGTAAACGAAAAAAAGTGCGGGTTGTTACATAAGACCAGTACAATAATATAATATTAGGTACAGTTTTTTAAATTCGTACCCTCCATACCAGATTGATTATCTGGATAATATATCTATGACCCGGTTAACAGGTGCATTTAGGTTCAGGTTACCCGAGTGATCCTTAACCGAGTTCAATCTCTAGCGTCACCTATACTAAAAGAGATCCCATGAAATGTTATAAAAATTTTTTTCATACATTATTAACCAAAACATCTATATCTTTGAACCCGGATGGAAGATTTGCAATCGCGTCATCAATTTCTTGCTTATTTCTTATATCAACAACGCAAATATGGATTTCACATGATGGATAAGTTTCGAGAATCTTGGATTTAAGCTTAT